ATAATATATTAATTTTTTTGTCTTTTAAAACAAAATTTAAAAGATTTAAAAAATTTAAATTCTATGGCCAAAAAATGCAAATGGCTTATCTTGGGCCACTGGCAGCAAAGCACAAACAATTTCATCAATGATCTCATAGATGTCAGTCGCAAAATGTTCTTCAAGCCGACTTTCTTTTCCAGCGAATCTTACAGAGTACACTGGGGACTGGGAGACACAATGAATAACAAATGAGACACTGTGATTATACATGTCTCCTAAATGACGTGACATGAACAATTTCAGAGATGCAGAATAATGGTCAAGTCTGGCGAAGTAAAAGCTTCAAAATTACGTTTGACACAGTGTCTCACTACGCAGCTTGGACTTGCTGTGATCCTCTTGCTTTCAGCCTCCCCAGCTGGGATTGCAAGTGTGCACCGCCACGCCAGGTCTTGGTGCCCAGCTCAATGTGCCAGGGCCACCAGCTAGTACATTTTAAAATAGGATAACAAAGATAAAGGAGAGGGCCAGGGACATGGCTCAGTAGAATAAGCAGTTGCCTGGCAAGCTCAAGGGCCTGAGTTCAATCCCCAGTTCCATACACACACACAAAAAAAAGGATAAAGGAGAGCAGCATAGCAGAATATGGTACCTCAGGCCTGTAATGCCAGCTACTCAGGAGGCTGAGGCAGGAGGATCACAAGATCAAAACCATGATGGACAATTTAGCATGATTCTGTTTCAAAAAAAAAAGGCCGGCCAAATAGCTCAGCAGACGGGGCCAGGGTTCCATTGTCAGGCCTGCCATGCTGGCCCGATGAGACTAATTGAAACTGGGCGTGGTGGTACATGCCTATAATCCCAGCTCTTAGGAGGCTGTAAACAGGTGGATCACTACAGTCTGATCTAGTAGTGAGACTCTGAACATCCTGTAGACCCTTCCCTAAAAATACAAAAATAAATAAATAAATAAATAAATAAAGAAGGAAGCTGGGTGCCATTGTGCGTGTCTGCAGTCCAGCCCTGCAGCCCCAGTTTGTGGCCAGTCCAGACTACAAAGTGAGTACAAAACCAGCCTGAACTTCTTAGTGAGACTCAGTCTCAAAAAACCAATAATAAAACAGACAGGGAGATGGCTCAGCAGAATAAGCGCTTGCCTGGCAAGCACAACCAAAAAAAAAAAAAAAAAAAAAGAACAGGTCCTAATGGCTCACATCTGTAATCTTCCTCTGGGAGGCTGAAGCCAGCCTGGACAATTTAGTGACAACTTATCTGAAAAAATTTAAAAGTGGTTGGAGATATAGCTCAGTGCAAAAGCCCTGGGCTCATAGTACTATTATTTGTATTACTTTTATCATAAAAAATATATTTTTCATTCTAAACATAACTTTTTAAACAAACTTTTAGAATACAGTTTACTACAAATTGAATCTGGCATACAAATTCAGAGATTAATGGATTGGTAATATAATATCATAAAGTAAAATTTAGCATGTGGAAATCAAAATAGGGTAGATTTTTCATGCTCTTTGCTCTGAAACATACTACCTCAGGCCCTTTGCATATAACATTAATGTACTTTGATGGTAAAGCTTTCTCTGTAGTTATTTTTCCATTTATTCTTTGTTGTAGGGAGCCAGCCACAGAGGCTGGAAAATTAGTCAAAGGTGTATAGGCCAGACTAGGCCTCAGTGCCTGAAGCAAACAGCTACCCCATCCTGAGATAAGGATCTTGACTGGTGAATGTCAGCTACTAGTCGCTC